ATCTTTGATCCAATTGCAAAATAAATCGTCATGGACATGTATCCTAACATGTATAATCTATGTACCGAGTTTGAATGACAACTGACAAAGCATGTCCAAAATACAACATTTTCAAAAAACAAGATGGCTGCCATTCGGCCATTTTGAATCGAATCGCTAAACCACTGCGTGTGCATATGTCCCACATAAGGTATTAGGCACATGCAAAGAATGAACGGAATCGGTCCACAGGATTCTGAAATATGACGTTGGATAGACTGACGCACGGACAGACGGACGGTCGGACGGACAGACTCAGGAACTCACGGACGGTCGGGGACATGTATCCGAAACATGTATGATCTATGTACTAAATTTGAATGAAAACTGACAAAGCATGTCCAAAATACGACATTTTCAAAAAACAAGATGGCTGCCAGTCGGCCATCTTTGATCCAATTGTGAAATAAATCATCATGGACATGTATCCTAACATGTATAATCTATGTACCAAGTTTGAATGAAAACTGACAAAGCATGTCCAAAATACAACATTTTCAAAAAACAAGATGGCTGCCAGTCGGCCATTTTGAATCGAATCGCTAAACCACTGCATGTGCATATGTCCCACATAAAGTACTAAACACATGCAAAGAATCGGTCCAAGGGATTCTGAGATATGACTCCGGACGGACGCACGGACGGACAGAGACCGAATTATAAGTCCCCGTTTTCGGACTTCGTCCGAACGGGGACTAATAAACACATCCACCTAATAACATTTGTCAGAAATCTTTTCACTGAATCGACTTGAATTATATAAAATCACTGTAAATCATAGTTGTTAAGTTTTTAGGGAAATACATACGTTTGTTATGGTGTCATATGTCAACCAACATTTGTTGTATACTGAATCATTGAAATATTACATATAATTTACACAAATATGACATGTAGTGCTAATTGGTGTCTCTTAAAAAGCTCTCTTTGATGTTTTGTGTTTTCTTGATTTCAACACATCAGGTCAAAAAAAAAATAAACTTCTGTTGCCCTCAAGTTGCAAATTGGGTAGGTCGATCAGATTTTTTTTTTTTTTTTTTTTTTTTTAAATTCGTGAAAACTAAGAGTATCGTAAATAGCCAAGGTATATGGACTTCATAGTATTCGAAACATGTCGGAAAAATACAGATCAACCCGAGGTTCAAAGTCGCCACTTACGGGGACTCTGGAGATCAAACAACAGTCTGGGATCCTTAATTTTTAAAGAAACACTTTTTTACTGCTTAAAATGGTGAGTTTTTAATATTTGGGCCTATTAAAAAAACAAAACAAAAAAAAACGTGACCCAATATTTCACATTTTTCGGTCAGTCGCTGAGGGCAACAAAACAATTTTTTTTTTGGCATCACAATGGTATATCCCAGGCTAATAATCACAGTGATAGACACCAAGATCTGATTAATTAAAACTTAAAAATTAATGGATGTCTCAAGTTTATACTTTCACTAATAATTTTGATTTGCCCATTTCAATTTTGTCCACTGACTGGTATTGTAGTTGGCCTAAAAATATGCAATCGCTACAACACGGTCAATTGTTTCCACTATCTATAACACCAGTCGGTTTGCGGAGGGTGCTTCCAAAGGTCACAAGGGGTTATTTTCTTTATGGTCACTTTTGTGTTTGCATGAATTAACAACTATTGTTCAGGACTGTATGCAAGTACATGTCGGTGCAAGTTTTGACATCCAGTAATTAATCATGTTGTCTTAACAGATGAGTGAACTTGACGACGCCAGTGCTGTTGAAGTACCATATCCGTACGAATTGGTAGCAAGGGCGAATAAATCAAGACGACGATTCAATAACTTCATCTGATTGGATTACAATTTACTTCATAACTGCGTTATGCTGCATAGTTGTTCATCATTAAGAAGGACAAGAGATCAAAACAGTTTTGATGATTGATATACCGTTCTTTCACCTATTTATGTTACAATAAAGAAGGACGAATGATATAAAGTTTGGAATTTTGTGAATTTTTTGCGACTTTAGATGCAAATCACTGCAGAGACCTGGATGAGAGCCATAGCACTAAAACTGAACTTTCTAAATTCTGTTCTCTCACACAGTTTCAAATACCATGGTCACGTAGGACAAAGTGACAATGTTACGAGGAGAGAGCATGGATCTTTATTAGAAAGTCAATAATAAGTCATGTGAGTGGATCTCGTTTTTCGCAGTCATTTGCATCTACTCGTGTTGATTCCAAAACATAACAGGATATGCTCATATAAATTGTTGTTGCTGGGAATAGCATTATGAAAATTAGTTCGCTGACATTCGAACATAAATTCTAGAACAAAAAATATCTGCACAATTACATATTGTAAAAGGATTAATTATTCACTGGGTTTTAATTTTGCTTATTTCGCTGACTGGAAAATGCGCTAAATTAAAACCCAGTGAATATATAAAATTTAGTATAGAACACATTATCTAAATGATAAAACCGTGAATTTAAAACCCACTGAATATGCCTGAAATGCTAAATCTGAAATTTAAACCCAGTGAAAATTAGTCATTTTACAGTATCTAAATGGTCATTGAAAGGGGAATTTCTAGATGTCAGATATATAGTTCAAATGTTATTTTGTTTTCAAATTGCGTCATCCAAGGTAACCAAGGGATATATTGTAGAAAACCAAAATTCAGCAGATGGGCCGTTCCATTCACCATTACCCCCGACACACACCCCTTGGTCATTGAGTACTACTGAGAATATCAATATCTGTACAATTGATATCTCTGCATTGTAAAAATTGGAAATACAAACACCAAATTTCTCTTGTAAATCTTGTTATTTTATTTGATGACAAAATTGACAATTTATGATGCACATAAAATAACTTTTTGTATACATATACATGCTGAATCAGCATTTTATATAAAAACCCACCCCCTGGTGGCATTAGTGGTAACACCACATCACTGCCAACAAGTCTCAAACCGTGTAGTTTTCATTTTGTGCACATCTTTTAGGGCTGCGACTGAATGCCAATTTCAAAATCAATGACAGAGAATTTATATTCTGTACCTCGCTAACATACTTTTAGTGATATGGGATTTCAATTCGATCCAAATATTATAAACAATGCAATAAAGACGAGGACGTAAAATTCATATAGATTTCCAAGGCTAAGACTGATTAAAATTGTTAAAGAAATAACAAACAATCAGTTCTCTAAGTTAAATTGATAGAGGGCAGTATACCAGAAGAAAGCATCGACATACATGTACCCTGCCGTACACAAGTGTGCAAAGATTTGATTGTACAAGTTGGAGAACAACTTGATCTCTGTAGACTGTTAAAGCTGACAAATCAGTGACCTGCACTGGTGTTTTTGCTTTGTTTTACATAGAAAAATCAAAGAATTTGACCAACTAAATCCCAAACATACAAGGCCAGAAAATATAAAAAATTTTCAGAGTCTTTGGTAACACCATTCTGGATATTATGGAACTGGTGAATGTAAACCTCTGATCCCGCTTTCGTGTAATTGCATTAACTAAAATTACCTGATTGTTCCACTACCTGAATTATAACATCGCAAAATATTGTCATTACCAGGCATTAGTTATGCAAATTTAGCAATTATAAAACTAAGAAGAAGTTACATAGTCCTGAAAATTCCAGAATTGCCATGGTAACAAAACAATTTTTAGAAATCAGCCCCAGGTAATAGAGATAAAATGTATTTTTTCTCCCGCATTACTTCAATTATTCATGTGATTTGCACACATTTTACTTAAAACAATTTTTGTAAACTAAATTTCATGAAAACTGATCTGAGTAAAAGTAAAAATAAGAATTGTATATATTCGCCATGTTACTTTTATAGTAAGAAGCGAAGCACCGAGCAAAGTAAAAATACTACCAGAATTTTCTGCATGATATGTTCAAAAAAATTATGAAAATTAGTTTTGTACTCAAGCCAGCATCTTTATTGAGTAATGAAAATGATATGCGCTGTGAAGTTCTTTGTCATTGTGAGAAACTACTACCTGTTCACCCCTTTGATATTTGGAATGATCTTATCAACAATTGATCACACCAATAGCAGATATCAGATAATGTAAAGGTTAGATAACAGAAAAGAACAAGATATTTGTGCAAAGTAAATGTTCTGCCGAGTCGGCACAAGCGATTCCCAAATTGTTCGTAGACCAATCATGATCTTCCATATACAATATAACTCGTGCTGTACTTCGTTAATTTTTCACAATTTGATCCCTCGCAAAATTGATTAATTTAATTCCTACAAGGTAAGCCACTTTCGTGACTTTTTTGTTTTCTGAAAGCAACAATTTTTTATTTGATTCAAAAAGCCATCTGAAACTTTCTCACTGCTACCACATAACTACAAAGCATTGCAACATATATCCCTGATATTTTGAAATAATAATTAATGGTTATTTAAATAATTGCACATTGCTTGACCACCTTAACTTTAAAAGTTCATCTTTGTTACTACCAGTAGATAATTTACACCGAATTCCTAAAGAGGTTCACGAATTACAGGAGACACTGGTGTTGAATCCTTGGCATTCAGGTTTTCTTCTCAATCATAGATCACATGATATTCTTGGGGTAAAATCTGCGGCCTGTTTAATAGTGTGTATTATTGTATTACACTGCCCTCTGGAGTCAGGATTACATTGCACTCAAATAGAACATACGAGTCACGATCAAGTATTTTGCGATTTTTACTCTTCGTCTGAATCAGAATTCTTGGATTGTCGTTTGCTTCTACTGCAAGTATAAAAAAAGCAAAAATATTTTATATAAATTAAATATTCAAACATTAACAGTATGACACAGTGCAAGTCTTGTTTTCATGCGTATCTTATGACTTAAATACAAATGTCAGATAACTGTACTCACCGTACTCTTATTCTCTCACATTTTGGACACTTATCTGGTAAATAACAGTTGCTATGGTAACAAGCCCAACAAGCTGAGAAAAAAAAATAACAAAATATGTTTTACTACGATTTATTATTCAAACACTACTGCAGAAGGAATCATCTTATAAACATGGCAACCCTCTAGTAGCAAATTAATGCCGGTGTCATCAGTAACGATGCCATAGCCCCTGTTTGTATTATAGACACGAGATATATAACCTTTGAAGTTTAAACTTGATCGATTCAGGCATGTATGAGAGAGATGGCTCCAAAGACCTGCATTTGTTTAAACAAGCCATGCATGGCACAGTCACTGTTAGTTATCAAATTTAAGATAGTTTTGTTTATAGTTATATAGTTGGAACATAAACATGTCAGAAATATGGATCCAAAAGCTGATGCTTGATTATGATTTGTTAACATTAAAATGATTGACATTCAGTCATCTTGTCCATATTGAGAGATATTGCTCTGGAACAGCATTCAAAATGATTGACATTTGTATCCGATCGTCAAAAGAGTACTTGTCCAAATTGAGAGATATTGCTCTGGAACAGCATTCAAAATGATTGACATTTGTATCCGATCGTCAAAAGAGTACTTGTCCATATTGAGAGATATTGCTCTGGAACAGCATTCAAAATAAGCCACTTTGAATACATGTATATATCTATGATTATACAAAATTTGAACATAATCGATCAAAGTCGATGATTTCAATGATTTTTTAGAACTAAAATGCCTGCCATTCAGCCATCTTGAATCAGATTGTGAAACAACTTGACGTGCATGTGTATAATATTATGTATGATGTATGTGTGAAGTTTGTAATCTGTCCGAGCATGTCAAGGTCCGAATGCATGCACGTCTATCCATAAGTCCCCATTTTCAGACTAATAAGATGACCGCCAGTCAAACATTTCGAATTTGATGGCAACCGTCTGGAAACTGCATTGAAAACAAAATTGCTGCGAGTCGGCAATTTTGAACAGGAACTAAAAACCAGCTGTTGAATCGTTTTGAGCGACTTACCTGCACATTGGATACATTTGTGGAGTTCAAATGGATAGATAATTTCATTGTTGTTACATAATTCGCAGATAAAACCTTTTGCCTGGCAAAGCTGAAATAAAAGAAATTGACATTAATTACCTGAAACAGGCTTGAAATCAATGACTGGTGACTCGGAGAACAAATTACTGCCAAAGGTTTACAAGATATATTTCAGAAATTTTGCTAGATCTTAATCGCTGTATGCAGCACATACAAGCATTGTATTTTACAAGCGAATTACCAGTACAACTCACCTGACATTGCGTAACGTGCGTTATTGCATCCTCAACAAGCTCCCTGAGTTCAAGAGGCATCTCTCCCGACCTCACTTTTAGTAAATCAATTATCGAATAAATATTAACATCGTGAATTAAATGGTGAGGTCTCTTGTCAAATTCATTCCACATACTGGAAGAAATGAACATTGTTTGTACAGATGAGAAAAAGAGAAAGATGTTTGCGAAGACTAAAGACATGGTGAATTGATTTGTATAAATAATGGACAAGCAATTCTTTTAAGATTTAGAAACACTTTAATACCATTACACGTTCACAATGAAAATATGAATATACTCCACAGCACAGTCCTTTGAAGTGAACATCCAGATGTAACGAGCCGTCACTAACGTGCCCACCCTCTCAAAAAATAAGTTTGTGATACTTAAGTTATTGTATATCCTCATTTGTGTACAGTCTGGCTGAAATACCGTCAGTAAAGAGAGGCAATCAATCTCACCTTTGACCCTGCCTGCAGGTCCGAAGAAAATCTTTTAAATAATATAACTGAGTTCTATATTCCTACAAGAAAGCACACAATATTTGCATTGCTATCCACACAAATATCACTCCATACATTAGAGAAAGCAATTAGAAGCACTGTAATGCATTTGTATTGACATTAATTTACATGGGCTGTGGTTGACCCTTTGGGAGCCAAATCTTTTTCTGCTCAAACTGGGTTAAATTTGTTTGCAATTTTTTGTCATTTTCACAGAATTTAATCGCAATTTTAGACCAAACAGAAAAAATGTGGCAATGCTTTTAGTTTTTGATAAAAAAAATTAACATTTTTGCAAAGATTATTGTGGATGGTGCCTGAAGTTAATTTTAGCGCTCAAATGGTTAAACAAAATGAAATGAAGTAAATAATCCAGCATGGTCATAGTTTTGAAATTGAAATTAATTAAATGATGAAGTAAAAACAAGACATGAAATGTCACAGTCCCCGTTATTTGATTATAAAATACAGGCAAACAGGTGAATAAATATGTACTCTTTGTGGGTACAACTCATCATCAAGTGATTTCCCATAATCTAGTTTTGTACTGACAACTAAAAACTTCCACTGACCCATGTTCAGAATCTCAGAGTGCAACAAAACTACACTGTATTTGTCATACATGTATACTTGCTCAAGAAACTGCATTCATAAATCTGAGTGAACCTTGATGTACATGACTTGTTTGTTAATCAGGTCTTAGTATATTACCAGGACCTGGGTTTGTTTCAACATCATCACTGGGCATCAGAATCATTCTCATGTTGTCAAATACAATTTGTTATTAACACAGTAAGGTTTATTATTTAAAATGTAT